TCGTGACATTTTTGTAGAGCATATGCCTATATGCATGATATATAAGTTCTATTTGGCTATGAGAAAATAAAATAAGGACATTTTAGTCCCAAAATCTAATTTAGTTTGTCATGTTTCCATCCAAATTTCTAACGGTTTATTAACGGAATTAGTTCAGTGTCACAAGATATAATAAAGGAAGTAAAGTGTTGAGTTTTAAACTTTAGGGGGCAAAGTGTAACATAATCATAGTTCAGGGGGTTTATTGTAATTTACCATTATTATTATTATTATTATTATTATTATTATTATTATTATTATTATTATGTCCCCATTTAAAATGATAAAAAAGTACTTAATATTGAAAAAATACAAATCAAAGTGTTTTGAACACCTCATTCATAATCAAACTTCATATTCTCTTCTCTCTTTTATTCTCTTCTTATTGACTTCACTTTGCATCTACTCAACCCTATTTGGCTTGAATCCATGATTCTTGCATTCTATTTAATATTGAAGTTAATAATGGATAATGAAGAAAATATTTCTAAGCAGATTTATATATATATATATATATATATATTATAAGGAAGTTAAGTTTCCTATTTATGTTCATTGTTTTCAACTCTTGAATTTATGGAATTTGTTTGGAAATTCAATACCAAACAAATTACATTTATTCAGAAGCTTGTTTCTAAATAAAATTCATATATTCAGCAGTGTGTTCCCGAAGTAATGATAGTATTTAATATCTGAACAATTGTTGATGTTCGGCTCTGTATTTCCAACATTTAATTTTTTAACTTCTTCATATTCTTATTCCGAACAAAAAGAACTATCTGGTATTATATCCGATATAACATATACTTTAATTTTTTGTTGTTCGGACCTGAGTGTCTGCACATGTTTCGTTTGTTTAGCACCAAGTATTCGAAGCAATTTCATAATTTTGGAATTAAGTATCTGGACATATTTAATTTGTTCGACACTGAGTATCTTGATAGAATAGCTGGAACCATGTTTTGTTGTTTGGAACTGAGTATGCGGATGAAAAAGCTGGAACTAATTTTCTGTTGTTCAGATTTCAGTATCCACACGTATTTCATTTATTTGATACTGAATATTCGAAGAAAATTGTAGAACTCATTTTTTTTTTTTTTCAAAGAATCAAAATCAAAAGCCTCAAATTAATCGAATGCCAAAATACCCTAAAACAATAAGGGTTGGAGACGAAGAGGGGTTGGAGATGGCAGGTTGGCAACAAGGGTGTTGGAGATCATGGGTTGTCTTCACCATGAAAAATGAGCTTGTGCCTCTGTTGTAACTATTAGACTAATAGGATGTAGAAAATAGGTTTCTAGTATATTTCTAGAGCTTTTAGGATTTTTAGGGGCATAATATGTATTATTTGGGATGCCCAAAAAAATAATAAAAAATTTAAATTTTCAATTGCAGTGTTCAAAGTAATGGGGTGTCCAGCTAATTTTTTGGGTGCAGTTAGAGCATAATTTGAATTAGACGGTGTTGTTCAGGTTTGTAGGATCTATGGGTTCTATTTCGATGATTCAAACCATTCATTTTATCAACAATGGCACAGTTAGGATTTTATTTTAGTAGAGTCATTTAACAAGTATCATCAATACCGTTATGTATTTTTACACTACAATTTTATATATTTTCAATTACATTAACAAAATTAATCAAAACTTGTTAAATTATATACAAAGCAAAAGTTGAGACATTAATACTTCAACAAAAAATAAAGCAAATCTACACGTATACAATTGCTCACATCAAGTTTTCATTTTTTGAAATCGCTATATGATAACCTTATTATTTAGGAAAATTCTATTATACGCATCTCTAGTAACGACTTTTGTAGTCATTGGTTATAACCTATTGTGGTATCAGTTATGACTAATGATATTATTTTGGTTATGATCCAAACACTCTTTGTATACATTGTGTAGTTTTTGGTTAAAACTCTTTTCTTTTTAGTTATGATCCTCGTAGGATTGAGTTATGACATTTGTGGGAATCAAACCCACAAATATCATAATCTACATATGATATACATCCTTTAGGACGTGTAGCATAGAATTACCAATTTATTTATGCTATCAAATATTTTTTTTTCAATATATGTGGCCAAAAAGTAAATTAAATCATTACTCTCAATAAATTAAAACGGTGGTGCTACATGCACCAATTAGTATACTAACTAGTATACCAACACTAGTTATGATATTATTATTGACCTCACTCATTAATCGTATTACAAATTCCAAAAACCTCTTAAATTATGTCACGTCATCAACTGATATACTAATTAATACACCAATTAGTACCTATAGCATTATTCAAATTAAAAAATCATTATTTATTAGGGTCTTTATAAATTGTATCGAAACAAAAAAAATCTTTTCACAATTGTAGTTGCGATTCGTAGAACTAATACTCATGGCAATTATAGTTGTTATTTTTACTACTATTCTTAATATATTATCTCTAAATCTGCATTTTAACGTGCATTAAGAATCATATATATGTGTAATTTTCAACTTAAATGTGAATTTTATAGTGTATTTATAATAAAATGAAATGGGAATAACATTTTTGTTTTTTGTTTATATAATTTCTCTAGGTTTGACTTGTAGAATCTCAAACATTTTTGGGTAAATTTTAAATTTAGTTTAAGAAAATTTCAAGTTGAGTGGTGTTATTATACTATAACTTTGTCGGTGTTTATCAAGCATTTTGGGTATACTATTCACATAAAAAAATTAAATTGATCTGACAATTGTGTTTTTAAAAATAGACGATTAATTTATTTATTTTTTGTGACAAACGTTATAAATTGAATAGGTTATATTTATCGAACTATCTAATTTTTTAAAAAAAAAATGGAATTCATGATGAGTCTCACAGACTCAAACAATACCCTTCAATCTGAACTAGAAGGGAATCCGCATCTGTTTTTTTCTCTTTTTTTTTTATGGGAGTGGATGGTGTAATTTTAAAATTTTTAGCCAAAAAAGGGTAAGAATTTCAGAAAAAATAATTATTGCAACTCTTTTATATAAGATCAACGACTAAAATCAAACAACCACTAGATATAAGAATTTGGGTTAATTAAAAGAAAAAAAAATTCAAGGTTTCGCATGTTTTTCAATTTAAACCCTGGAATTTCAATTTCGAAAAATTAAACCCTAGAGTTTCATCTGTGTTTCAATCTGACCCCTCCGTCCATCTCCGTCATATTAAACTAACGGAAATCTAGGCATATATAATTTTAAATTCAAACCCACATGTTCAAACAGTTGTATCTTTCTCGTCATAACTCTGTTTCGCCTCATTTTTGAGTCGTTGGATTCACCTCATGGCTTAATTTTCATTCCACTCTTCATACGTCTCATTCCATATCTTTTTACTTGTCATCAGAGTTTTGAAAGTTGGCCAAAAATAAGATTTTTCTCTCTTTGGGCAAAATTTTCATATTCAAATCAACATATTCAAACACTTGTATTTCCCTCGTCGCAACTCCGTTTCACCTCATTTTTACGTCGTTAGATTCAACTCATGGCCTAATTTTTATTTCACCCCTCATATGCCTTGTTCCACCTCTTTTTACATGCCGTCGGATCTCCGAAAGTTGACCAAAAATAAGTATTTTTCCTCCTTTTTTTTTTCCTTCTTCCTCATCCTCCGCGACTCCTCATCTTGCCTTGCTGCTACTGTTTCATCATCATTATTGAAAAATTAGTCACTTTGACTCGCTCTCTCTGTCTCTCTATGTCTCTACACATACACACACACGTATATATATTCATTGTGTGTGGTTGTTTTTCATTTTCAATTGAATTCCAGACAAACAAGTGAAGAGACAAAGCTTATTCTCGATCTTCTTGCTTGTTCTTGCTCTCTCAAGAACTATATATATATATATAGAGAGAGAGAGAGAGAGAGAGATATATTTGGCATTGTGGGTAGAGGAAGATGGAGAAGATAGTGAACACTATACATGGGTTGAAGCCAGCGATGATGATAGTGGTGGTTTAGGCTGCATTGACAGGAACCAGTGTATTCTACAAACTGGTTTCGAGTATTGGAATGAGCGCTTTGTCTTTGCTACTGCCTTCATTGTCCCTCTCGCTTTACTTCTTGAAAGGTCCTCCATCTATACATATATATGCACTTTTGGGTTTTGATTTTTTTTTTTTTTTTTTTTTTTGGATAACGGGTTTTGATCATTTGAATATATATATATATATATATATACAAAGAACTAGGCAAATAAACAAACTGAAAGATGAAAAAGATGCTTCTGAAGCAGTCGCAGTAAGGCAGGAGAAGAAGCTGTGAAGGAGAAGAGAGAAGGAAGAGAGAGAAAGAGAGAGAGAGAGAGAGAGAGAGAGCCTATTTTTGGCCAACTTTTGGAGATTTGACAGCATGCAAAAAGAGGTGGAACAAGGCATATGAGGGATGGAATAAAAATTAGGCTATGAGTTGATCTAAGGACGTGAAAATGAGTTACGACAAGGGAGATACAAGTGCTTGAACATATGGATTTGAATCAGAAAATTGTCCAAAGAGAAAAATCTTATTTTTGGCCAACTTTTAGAACTGCGACGTCAAGTAAAAAAATGCGGAACAAGTCATAGGAAGAGTGGAATGAAAACTAGGCCATGAGGTAAATCCAACGACGCAAAAATGAGACGAAACGAAATTACAACGAGTGAGATACATGTGTTTGAATATGTGGGCTTGAATCTGAAATTTTGCCTAAATTTCTGTGAGTTTAATATGACAGAGATGGACAGATGAGTCAGATTGAAATACGAATGAAACTCTAGGGTTTAATTTGTCGAAATAGAAATTCTAAAGTTTAAATTGAAAAATGCACAAAATTTTGGATTTTTTTTTTTTAATTAATCCTAAGAATTTTATATTACTTATCCAACATAATTAAATTTAATATATATATCTATATATATATATATATTTTTTATTTATATAACAATAATTTATGTGGATGTGTGATCATGAGCCAAAGAGCATTGAAAGAAGGAAGGAGGGACGGTAGAGAGACACAGAGTCAAAAGAGATCTAAATCTGAGATGAAGAAAGCAGAGCTTGTGTTCATCCCAAGCCCAGCGATCGGTCACCTTGTATCAATTGTAGAGTTCGCGAAGCGCCTTATCGATCGAGATGATCGATTCTCCATCACCATCCTTGTCATCAAATTCAAATCCTCCACCCGGCCAAACATTGACTCCTACACCAACTCACTCTCCGCCTCCCAACCACTCATCCGACTCATTGAGCTCCCTCAACTCAATCCACCCAAATCACCTGAACTCGCCAAAACCCCTGCAAACTATATCACTCTTTACATAGAAAGTTTCAAACCCCACATCAAACACGTCCTCGGTAACCTCATCGGGTCGACTCACTCTCACCCTAACTCGCCCCGACTCGTTGGGTTAGTCCTCGACTTCTTTTGCATTTCCATGATTGACGTTGGCAATGAACTCGGTCTTCCTTCTTATCTATTCTTGACCTCCGGTGCTGCGTTTCTTGGCCTCATGCTATACATCCCAACTCGCCACGACCGGGTCAGCACCGAGTTCAGCGAATCGGATCCTGAGTTTTTGATTTCGGGTTTTATCAACCCAGTTCCTCCACGAGTTTTGCCCTCCGCAGTGTTCAACAAGGACGGTGGTTACGCTGCTTATCTCAAGCTTGCAAAAGGGTTTAGGGACGCCAAGGGCATTATAGTAAATACATTACTGGAGTTGGAATCCCATGCTATTAGCTCATTTTGCGATGATCAAACCCCTCCTATCTACACCGTAGGACCGGTGATTGATGCGAAGGGTGAGGCCCAGAACAAGCTAGGTTCCCCAGGGTCCCACAGTAAGAACAACAACATAATGAAATGGCTTGATGATCAAGATCCATCGTCGGTGGTGTTCCTGTGCTTCGGGAGCATGGGGACATTCGGTGCGCCCCAACTCAGAGAGATAGCTCAAGCGCTGGAGCGCAGCGGGCATGGGTTCTTGTGGTCCATTCGTCTACCACCAACAACAACACCACAAGGAAAAGCTGGGACTCCGGAGGAGGAGATGTTGCCAGATGGGTTCATCGAACGGACCAGAGGGAAGGGGATGGTGTGTGGGTGGGCCTCACAGGCGGAGGTACTGGCCCACAAAGCGATCGGAGCGTTCGTGTCGCACTGCGGTTGGAACTCGATCATGGAGAGCTTGTGGAACGGTGTGCCTTTGGTGACGTGGCCAATGTACGGTGAACAACAGCTCAACGCGTTCACGATGGTGAGGGAGTTGGGAGTGGCGGTGGAGATGAGGTTGGGCTATCGCGGCGGTGGATTTGGCGGTGACGGTGGTGACCTTGTGATGGCCGATGAGATAGAAAGAGCGGTGAGGAGTGTGATGGTAAGTGACAGTGATGTGAGAGAGAAGGTGAAAGAGATTGGAGAGAAGAGCAAGAAGGCGTTGGTGGAGGGTGGATCTTCATTCAACATGATCGGAAGGCTGATGGAGGATATGTTAGTGAATGTTTGATTGCCATTAATACAATTTGAGAGCTCTAATGCGGTTTTCTAATGCGGTTTTAGGGATCGTTTGGCAAGAAGAGTTTGAGGCTTTTTTGGCTATTTTAGTCACAAAAGATAAAATAGGCTATTTTAGCCACAAAAAACAAAACATCACATCCAACCCATAATTATTACTCTTCTCTCACAAAAAAAGTCAAAAAAGTCAAAAAGCCAAAAAGCTCTTCCCAAACCAAGCTTTTTAGCCCAGGCTAAAATAGCTAAAAAAGCCAAAAAGCCAAAAAGTCAACCCACTTCCCAAACGGAGGCTTAATGATATTATAAAGAGTATTTATATAAAAGTAAAGTTCACATTTCTCTTTCTTTCTATCTCTTTATTCTCTCTTTTTCATCTCATTAAAATTTTTAGACCACTCAAATTAAAATTATGTCATTATTCTATTAATATATACATTAATTAATAAATATAGTATTACTCTTGTCGATTTCATGATAAAATACAGGTAATTAATTTCACAATGTTTGTGATGGAGAAGTTATTGGTTGGTATTAAAAATCCGTACGTGGTGATCTAACCGTGTTATAATTAATGGAAGAAATAGAATTTATAATTTTATATTAAATGGTTAGAAAATATAAATAATATAATAAATTGTAATGGGAGTAAAAACCGATAAATTTTCTTGAGGTGGAGGTGTGTTGCTTTTGCTGGCTGCCTTTGTCAATGGCGGGCCTAGTGGCGCTTGTATGTTCCACTCATTTTTCTTTTATATTACGTAATTTATTATTTCAAGTAGTATTTAGCTGGTAAAGAAAATAACTTTAAATGTCAAAGTTCATACAAAATGATACATACTATTAATTATTTCACAATCTGTATTCATATATCAAAAATAAATAATTTTAAATGTCAAAGTCCATATAAATCAACTATTGTCCAAACTAAAATAATAATTCCATACAAAATACATCATACAAAAATCAAAGCACTCCGTATACAAAAAATATATTTATTACCAAACGAAATTACCATTTGGCATGGTACATATTACCATTGTAATCCGTACAAATTACCATTGAAATTCTTCTCCATACACCAATATGGATTATCCACAAGTCCATGCAACAAAGCCATCTATAAAGAAAAACAAAAAACGAAACATTAGAATTGGTTGCAAAATATCAATTCAGTCAGCCATATGGAACATGTTCTAACATGCATTTAAGGTAGAACAATCGAGAAATGTCTTCTTAAAAATAAAAGAAAGTATATATATATATATACATATATATGTATCATGCAATATTTATTCCAACCAACTGCACAAATAATGTAATATGTAATTTCTTCTTCCTATAAATATATAAAGGCAATCTATCTATCTATACTATCTATATAAACAAATGTAGTGGAGTATGAGAATTCTCCAAACTCTTAATACTAAATTATTATGAATTCTCTCTCCTATGTGTCACTTTTCAAGTCTCCCCTCCCACTTTTCTTAATTTTTAATCATTTGTCAATTATCTAAATCTCAAAAGCCAAAAGAATTATTTATATTTAAACAAAATGATAAATATTTAAATATGAACAACAAAGAGGTAGAGATAAAAATATAAAATAAATAAAATAAAAAGATAACTATTCAAATTTCAACTACAAAATAATATAAAGAGTCAAATAAAAGATAAAAAAAAATAAATAAATAAATAATATTACGAGTCAATTAATTATAAAAATAAAAAAGTTAACTATTTATATATGAACAATTAAAAAAAATCTCCAAACTCTTAATACTAAATTCTTATGGATTCTCTCTCCTACGTGTCACTTCTCAAGTCTCCCTTCCCACTTTTCCTAATTTTTAATCATTTGTCAATTATCTAAAGTTCTTGTGGTCCATTCGTCTACCACCAACAACAACACCACAAGGAAAAGCTGGGACTCCGGAGGAGGAGATGTTGCCAGATGGGTTCATCGAACGGACCAGAGGGAAGGGGATGGTGTGTGGGTGGGCCTCACAGGCGGAGGTACTGGCCCACAAAGCGATCGGAGCGTTCGTGTCGCACTGCGGTTGGAACTCGATCATGGAGAGCTTGTGGAACGGTGTGCCTTTGGTGACGTGGCCAATGTACGGTGAACAACAGCTCAACGCGTTCACGATGGTGAGGGAGTTGGGAGTGGCGGTGGAGATGAGGTTGGGCTATCGCGGCGGTGGATTTGGCGGTGACGGTGGTGACCTTGTGATGGCCGATGAGATAGAAAGAGCGGTGAGGAGTGTGATGGTAAGTGACAGTGATGTGAGAGAGAAGGTGAAAGAGATTGGAGAGAAGAGCAAGAAGGCGTTGGTGGAGGGTGGATCTTCATTCAACATGATCGGAAAGCTGATGGAGGATATGTTACTCAATGTTTGATTGCCACGCGGCAGAGCATTTGCCAATTTCACAATAAAGTAAAGGTAATTAATTTCTCAATGTTTGTAACGGAAAAGTTGTTTGTTGGTATTGAAAATCGTCACGGAGTGTACTGTGTAGAATGATTAAAAAAATATAAAAAGAGTAATGCTATAAATTTTAAATAATTTATTAAATATTTTATTAAATTTTTTACATGTGTAACGTTACACACAAATTTACATGTGTGTAACTTTCACAAAATTTGATAAAATATTTTGTAAATTATTTAGAATATCTAACATTATTCATATAAAAAAATATGATAAAGTGTAATTGATGTGTAATATGATAATGCTGCACTTTAAACCAACCAATTTTTTTTTTTTTTTTTTGGTGTAGATGTTAGATTGAAAATGAAAAACACATCAAAATTTATTGGATATGAGTTATACTTTAAATGTATTCATCAATTTATTTTTTATTGTTGATTATCCTGTTGAAGTAATTCATGATTAAATTTATTTTTAGTAACTCATTTCCTTTGAGAACTAAACCACAAATTTCTTCTTTGTTTAAATTATTTATTTATTTATTTAGATTCAGAGTTTGAGCAAATGGAAGATATCTCATATTTAAAATGTTAATTTTTTTTTGAATAATTTAAATATTTATATTCTTTATGTTTGTCAATTCAAGTATAATGCATTTTCAAACATTTTTTTTTAATTTTTTTATAATCATTCCAAATCTATTTGTGTTTAATGAATCAATATAACGAAAAAACAAATAGCATGTAAAAAATTTTAACCACCCACTAACTAAATATAATGGGAATTAAAATTAATTTTATTTTAATTTATTATATTATATGAGATGATTACTGTAATATCTACTATTGATTAAGCAAAATTAGTGTTACTTTTATTTAATATATTAGTCATTTTGATTAATTATAATATGCCTTTGTTACTTTACTTTTGGTTTTCTGAAGTAATTCTTAGATAAATTAGCTATTATATATGTGATGATTTGCTAATGTATGATACTTTTTTAAAATTTTCAATAATGTGAAATATTAAATATTTTTAATGATGTGAAATAAGATTTATATACACAAACCAAATAAAAATATTAAGAAATATAAACAAATAGCAAATTTTTTTATAGTAATTATTGACTTTCTAAAATCATGTGCATCGCACGGGTGACCACTAGTTATTAGAATATGTAGATGTTATTTTCATAAAGTTGTCGTTTTTTAAACTAAGTGTTGCGAGTTTTTCGACTAAGTGTAAGGCGTATTCAGGGGCTGTTATGAATTTTTGCCCTCGGAAAGCTCTTTTTCGAGTAAGTTTAGGGCGTATTCAACTTTAACTCCCAACCTACGGGTCCGAATTACGTTCCGTCAGTTCTCACAAGTTCTATTTGTCATGGCGAAGCTATCTATGTGAGCAACACGATCGTTCGGGGGTTGTTTTGAATTTTTGCCCCTGAAACGCCATTTTTCGACTAAGTTTAGAGCGTATTCAGCTCTAACTCCCAACCTACGGGTCTGGATTACATTCCGTCAGTTGTCACAACTCCTACTTGTCATGGGGGAACTGTCCGTGTGAGTCATACAGTGGTTCAGGGGTTGTTTAGAATTTTTGCCCCCGAAATGCCTTTTTCGACTAAGTTTAGGGCGTATTCAACTCTAACTCTCAACCTACGGGTCCGAATTACGTTCCGTTAGTTCTCACAAGTTCTATTTGTCATGGAGAAGCTATCCGAGTGAGCTACACGGTCGTTCGGGGGTTGTTTTGAATTTTCGCCCCGGAAACGCTCCTTTTCAACTAAGGCCTAGTTAAATAAGTGTACTTTTTGACTTTTTATGAAATATGAGTTGGGTTTGGGTTGGGTTTGAAGTGATGTTTTAGAGAGGTGATGTGACTTAAATAAGATGATGTGACTTAAATAGGATAGTGACTTTTTGACTTTTTACCTTTTTTTAATCATGCCAAACTTGACCTAAGTTTAGGGCGTATTTGGCTCTAACTCCCAACCTACGGGTCTGGATTACATTCCGACAGTTGTCACAAGTCTTATTTGTCATGGGGGAACTGTCTGTGTGAGCCACACGGTGGTTCGGATGCTGTTTTGAATTTTCACCCCCAAAACGCCCTTTTTTCTACTAAGTTTAAGGCGCATTCAGCTCTAACTCCCAACCTACGGATCTGAATTACGTTCCGTCAGTTTTCACAAGTCCTATTTGTCATAGGGAAGCTATCCGTGAGAGTCACATGATCGTTCGGAGGCTGTTTTGAATTTTCGTCTCCAAAAAGCTCTTTTTCAAGTAAGTTTAAGGTGTATTCGGCTCTAACTCTTTACGTACGGGTCCGAATTACGTTCCGTCAATTCTCACAAGTCCTATTTGTCATGGAGAAGCTATCCATGAGTGCCACACGGTTCTTCGGAGAATGTTTTGAATTTCCACCCCCGAAACTCCCTTTTTCGACTAAGTTTAGGGCGTATTTGGCTCTCCCAACCTACGGGTCTGGATTACATTCCGTAGTTGTCACAAGTCCTATTTATCATGGGGGAACTATCCGTGTGAGTCACACGGTGGTTTGGGCACTGTTCAGAATTTTTGCCCCCAAAACACCCTTTTTCGACTAAGTTTAGGGCATATTCGGCTCTAACTTCCAACCTACGGGTCTGAATTACGTTCCGTCAGTTCCCAAAAGTCCTATTTGTCATGGCGAAGCTATACGTGTGAGCCACACGGTCATTCGAGGTTGTTTTGAATTTTCGCCCCCGAAACGCCCTTTTTCGACGACATTTAGGGCGTATTCGGCTCTAACTCCCAACTTAGGGGTCTGAATTACATTCCGTCAGTTCTCACAAGTCCTATTTGTCATGGCAAAGCTATCCGTATGAGCCCCACGGTCGTTCGGGGGCTGTTATAAATTTTTGTCCCTAGAAAGTTCTCTTTCAAGTAAGTTTAGGGCATATTCCGCTCTAACTCGCTACTTACGGGTCCGAATTACGTTCCGTCAGTTGTCACAAGTCTTATTTATCACGGGGAATCTGTCCGTGAGAGTCACACGGTCGTTCGGGGGCTGTTTAGAATTTTCGCCTCTGAAACGCCCTCTTTCGACTAAGTTTAGGACGTATTCGGCTCTAACTCTTTACCTATGGGTCCGAATTACGTTCCGTCAGTTTTCACAAGTCTTATTTGTCATGGGGAAGCTGTCTGTGACAGTCACACAGTTGTTCGGGTGCTGTTTAGAATTTTCACCCTCGAAACGCCCTTTTTTAACTAAGTTTAGGACATATTCGGCTCTAACTCTCTACCTATGGGTCCGAATTACGTTCTGTCAGTTGTCACAAGTCTTATTTGCCATGGGAAAGCTGTCCGTGACAGTCATATGGTTGTTCGGGGGCTGTTTAGAATTTTCACCCCTGAAACGGCATTTTTCGACTAAGTTTAGGGCATATTCGCCTATAACTCTCTACCTATGAGTCCAAATTACGTTCCGTCAGTTGTCACAAGTCTTATTTGTCATGGAGAAGTTGTCCGTGAGAGTGACACGGTGGTTCGGGGGCTGTTTAGAATTTTTTCCCCCTTAATGCCCTTTTTCGGTTAAGTTTAAGACATTTTCGGCTCTAACTCCCAACCTACATGTGCTAATTACATTCCGTCTCCTGTCACAGCTCCTATTTGTCATGAGAAAGCTGGTTGTGACATCCGTACGGTGGTTTGGAGGCTGTTTTGCATTTTCGCCTCCTTAACGCCTTTGTTTGAATAAATTTTAATAAAGAAAGCTACATAAGTTTGTCTTTAAATATCCAATTTCTTTAATTTAACCTGATATCCAAGTACATTACAAAATATTCATATTTCTAAACAAATTTCATTTATTTTCTAGAATAGAATAGTGTGCACAATATGCCATAAAGCATTTTATTCATATTTTTTGTATAGTTCTACTGGAAAGATAGAAAAACGTCTCAACTAGTCCGAGAAAATCCGACAAGACCAAATGCCACATATATAAGGAAACTACTACATCTAACCATCACTAACAGGTAACTATCTTGTTGAATTCATAATTAATTTTCTTTTAAGGTTAGTATATCAGACTAGATTGCATTGCAACATATCAATAAACCCACGCTGAAGTCTTGTTACAAAGTTCTATAGATCTGTGAGTTGCTATATTGATAAACTTCTGTAGATCCTAACAAGGAGGAAATGAAATTTAAGATTTGATTGATCAGAGGAACTTACTAGTGTTATCTCAAACAGTTCACCAGAGTTCCCCAAGACAAAGATGTGCTCAACTTTGGTCTCATGTGTCAACTTGAGAAAAGCCTGCAGGCAAACAAAGTTATCAACAACCTTGATATAAGAAGGAACATTATTAAAGAGACAAACCAAAATCAAAATACAAACGTGAAGTGGTTTAAATGGATGCCCAAGTGGAGTGGTCAATTGAAATGATAAATGCAGAGCAGTCTCTCCAGCTAAATCTAGCCTGAAGAAAAAGCATAGCATGATGCAAATTTTAATCTGCTGAAGTAAAAAATATAATGAATAACAACATTAATACAGAAAAATAACACATGAAGATCAATAAGTCATATTTATTTTGATTGTAATAGAAGCATTTTTCTCACACCAAATTTCACATTCGAAGTATGAAAAGTCTTAATCACAAACCTCAAAAAAAATCAGTAGGGAGAGGAAAAACATGGGGATCTTTAGATCAGTAAGAAATGACAATAATAAATACAATTACCTCAAATACAAAAACAAAATTACCTACGTTAACACTCTTTGGCCATGCATCCAAGAAATGGACATCATTTTCTTGATCAAACTTGAGTTCTTGCATGAAGGCAATTGACGAGATCGATACAAGTTAGGCAAATTATGGTAATGAGCATCTGATAACGCCCTTTTTCAATTAAGTTTAATGCATTTTCGGCTCTAACGCCCAAACTACGTGTGCTAATTACATTTCGTCTATTGTCACAGGTCGGAATTACATTCCGTCAGTTGTCACAAGTCCTATTTGTCGTGGAGAAACTATCCATGTGAGGCACACGGTGATTCGGGGGCTGTTATGAATTTTTGCCCCCGGAAAGCTCTTTTTCGACTAAGTTTAGGGCGTATTCAGCTCTAACTCTCTACCTACGGGTCCGAATTACATTTCGTCAGTTGTCACAAGTCTTATTTTTCATAGGAAAACTGTCCGTGTGAGCCACACGGTGGTTCGGGGGCTGTTTAGAATTTTCGCCCCCGAAACGCCCTTTTTCGACTAAGTTTAGGGCGTATTCGGGTCTAACTCTCTACCTACCTGTCCGAATTACAGTCCGTCAGTTGTCACAA